CTGTCATTGGCATTCCTCATGGAATCTTTTCATAGGTCTTCTGAGCCCTGCCCCCACCAGCCAGTCTTTCTTGGGGTCCTCTGTCCTCTTGGCAGGCTTCTTTGTCCGCCAAGAACTTCAGCCCATTTGTTCTTGGTTATAACCTTGCTTGCTTGGACTGGCAGGGGATGGGCGGCCTCCAATGATGTGTTCAGCCTGGGCTGCTGTGGTCACTAAAGTGAGGACACCCTGACCATGGGTTTGGAAGCCACTGGAGACGCCCGAGCCCTTCTTCCACTTGCTGCCATGCTACTGCCTCACACACTCTGCTCATGGGGTCTCTCAAATCATTTCTGCAGCCCTGGGCCAGGGCCTATGGGGGTGGGGGAGGGAGGAGAGAGAGAGAGACAAAGACAGAGACAGACAGACACAGAGAAACAGAGATAGACAGAATCAGAGAGACAGAGAGATGCAGAGAGAGAGGGAAAGAGAGATGCAGAGAGAGAGAGAGAGAGAGAGAGAGAGAGAGAGAGAGAACCCATCCTCCATTCCTCTGCTGTGGCCACTGAGATCTTCAATGTGGACATCCACCTCTGTGACTTTCTGGTCCCATGTCCCTGCCTCTCCTTCCACACAGAACACGCTGGCAAGTCCTGGCCCACACAGCTTTCTCCCCTCTCCTTCAAGAGTTCTCTTTTCCTGCTCAGAGTCTTCACTGCTCTCATCATTTCTGCCTCCCTCTTCCAGGATGACATGTCCCCGACTGCCAGGCATGTCTTGGGTCCTTGAGCCCTAGGGCACCTCACTGTGGACTGCGGTCAGTAATGCTTCTAAGATTCATCTCTCAGGACGGGGCCCAGTCCTTCTTGGTGCCTCCACCCCAACCCAGGTCTTGACCCAGGGGCACCTCACCATAGCCAGCTGACTTGCTGTTCTCTGAGGCAAAATAGATACCCTTGCCAACACGGCCACCGGAGTGCGGCATGATTCGGAGCCCGCTGGTGAGGATAGCAGCCACCACGGCCACATTGGTGCCATGCCACAGCAGCCTCCGGTTGCTCAGTTTGGAGTGGGCCTGGAACCTGTCTCCCTGAGTGGGGGAAAGGTAGGAAATGATAATGACATGCCACCTGTAGGTTCATGAGTCCCTCCCTCTTCTTTGTTAGCGTGACCGAAGCCTAGGGCCCCACAGGTCGCTGGCATACACTGGGCCTTGTGGGAACTGGTCAGAGTTGCTGAGCCAGCTTAGCAAGGAGCGGTAAGTAAATGTTATCCCCTAAGGGACAGGGTGGTGATATAGGGACTGAATGCCCCTCACCTCCCCTTCTCTGTTCACTTTCCAAACATGTTGCAGAGCTGGGCATCTGTAGTTGTTGCCAGTCTGTTCCAGGTAGGTCTGTATCGCCTGTGGAGAACACAGCCTGGTGACCAGGGCTGGGAGATCCAGGGACTAGCGCCCCATGGTTCTCCCACTCTAGAGCTCTCCTTAGGTCTGGGCATGCAGGAGAGAATGCTGAGAGCCAAGCTCCCTAGGCACCTCAAGGGCAGGATGGAAGGGCTCACCTTGTACTCCAGCCCCCCATTGTCCAGCAGTTGAAGCTGGCACCTGAGGAGCTGGTAGTCTCTGTCCAGTGGGTGTGGCACTTCCTCCAGTTTCTCCTCCTCCCCAGGGGCTGCCTGCAAGGTCTGGGCCAGCTCGATGTCTGCTAGCACCTAAGATAATGGGCACTGGAGCTTGTCTGCCTCCGGGACATCCACTTCCACCCCCAGCCTCTCCCGTGTGACAGACACCCCACCTGTCTGTCCCCACCCCATCTCTGTCTGACTTTCTCCTCTGTTGGCCCTCAGCCTGCCCGTTGCAACCTGGGCCCCATGACCATCTGCTCCTCTCCTCTTTGCCCAGTCTGTCTTGTATCCTCAGGGCCTGCCAGCCCTCACCAGCAGCATGTCCTTCTTGGCCCGAAGAATCTCAGGGGAGCTGATGGGCGGGGGCCGGCTGCGGCCAAAGTTGTGTGGGATAACGGTGTAGAAACGGGAGGACAGCTCCTCTAGGCTCTGACCACCGCCTGTGGGGGTTTTTATGGCCTCCTCTAGAGCTTCCAAGGCCTCAAAGCCCCGCGCAATCTGCTGCTTGCTCAGCTTTCCCAAGGGCATCTTCTTTACGTCTGGAGATGAAGGGTTATCTTAGCTCTGTGCCCCAATATCGGGGCCCCGCCACCCTGCTCAGAGCCCCTCTTCACCCAGGTTCATGAGGGTCATGGCGTTCTTGAACATCTCTTTGCTGAAGATGTTGGTGATGAGCCTCTGAGTGGCAGGGTCTAAGGAGCAGGGCTTAACCACAGTCCTCACTGGGCGTCCATCCACCTGTGGGGAGAGAGCCTGAATGGGCAGCAGGAGCAGCTGGCCAGGCGCTCACACAGGGAGCAGGGCAGGACATTCGAAAGGGCCCAGGCTCAGGCCAGCGAGGGAGGCCAGTATGAGGGTGGACTGCCAGGCAGGCAGCCCCTTCCCTCCGTCCCCTCCCGCCCCACCCGCCTCACCTTCGCCACGGCCTCTTGGGTCTCAGCTTCTCCCTGCATTTCGATAAGTGTGTACTTGTTGGGATGGGCCACAAAGTGGTCCCGCTCCCCCCACTTGTTCTTCGTCTTCTCCCGAAATTTCTTCTCAAAGTCCTTCTTTGCATCTTCCAGGCAGGTGAAGGGATTCATCTTGGTCTGGCCCACCTCTCCCTGTAAGTGACAACTTTCAGGGGCGTGCCCATCAGAAATGTTTGCTGGCCTCTGGGCTAGGCTGATTGCCTCGGAACAGCTGAAGGTGAGGCGAGACAGTCAGCAACAGTGGCCCTTTGGGGACTCTTGAAGTGTGTGCCGCGGATGGGGAGTGCTGGGGGCACAGTGGTGATGGGGGGGTCACTCACCACCCGGCCCCAGCGATTCCAGCAGAAGAAGTGGCCACCCTCCTCCAGCAGCTGGATGACATAGAACTTGTTGTTGTTGTTGCCGATGTTGGTCTGGTTCAAGGTACAGTCATAGTCCTCGTGGACCTGTGAGGGGTGAGGCCAGAAGGCAGCTCGGCTGGGCATTGACTGGGTGTGGGAACCGGGGGACATCAGAAAGGGTCCAGGTTTGCACTTGGTATAATGGCTCTGCCCTTGGGGACACAGTCTGACTGGATGTGACTGAGCCCTGTTGTGGGAGTGGGGATTTGGAGGGAACGAAACTGTTCCCTGGGTGGGGGAATCTGAAAGAGACCTGGCTCTGCCCTGAAGGAGAGATTGAGGGAGCACTGGTAAGTCCTGGGGCAATGAGTCAGCCCCCTGCCTTGAGTGTGATGCAAAAGGCAACACCATAGTGTCTGATGGTCAGACATGACCCACGCTGGCCTGATAGCAACATGTAAGCAACCCCTGGCTTACTTAGAGACTTTGAACTCCTGGGCTAGAACAGAGATCCCAAGGAGAAGGTTGTGAACCAAACATGGGTATAGCTCACCTGAGTTCTGGGGTTGCGGCTGAGTGGACACGCGGGGTCCACACGGATGATGCGCTGATCTGCAGGGGCTGCTCTGAGAGCCTCAGCGGTGGATCGGAAACTGTCCTCCTCCCCTGTCCCCTGTGGCCTCTTCTTGGAGCCCTCAGGCTGCACGGAAGACTTTCGTTTTGGAGCCATGGTTATCCTGGGTGAAGGGTAGGGAGCGTTCAGGGTCGCCTTTTAGGGGGCTGGCCGTCTCCTAGTTCTTGTTACACAAATCCCTGCTTTTAAAACTGCACTTTGCTCCTCAGATTTTGCCCCCTCCCCAAGCTGCAAGTACAAGGTTAGAGCCTGTCCAGTCCGCCCACCCCGGCTAGGAAGAAGTTGGTTCCCTACCCTCTCCAGTCCCTGAGGTAATAGGAAAAGTGAAAGGAGACTGGCACCTCCCACTTGTTGGCATCTTCCTTTCTAGAATATTTCTTCCTCCTGTCACTAAGCATGGATCTGGCAAGGCTGATGGGCTGAATCTTCTGAGCTATGGAGGGTGGGGGTGAGGGTGAGGGGAGCGGGGTGGGGACTGGGGAGCCAGAGCAGGGCACTGGAAACAGCCCTTCTGCAGCCAGATCTATCTCTCTAGAGCTGAGGTATAGAAGCCTCTTCCTAAGACTCCGGAGTTCCAGGGTGCCAGCCGAGGTTTCAGATAAGTGGCCTTCAACTGCCAGAGATAAGAAGCCACCCCTCCCTGCCCTGCAGAGGACTCCAGGGCAGGGCCACAGGACACTCACCCTAGAGAAACAGGACCCTGGAAGAGGTGGCTGTCACCCAGCCTGGTATCAGGAATGCTGAGTGTGCCTTCCAAGAAGCAAGTTCCAAGTCAGGGCTCCTGTCTGGTGACCCTCTGCGAGCCTTCTGCTTGTCTTATGGTAGGGATTTCCCAGCAACCACCAGAGCAGGGGAAAGAGCATAAGGGGTGGTGTAGAATTCCAGTTATTTGGCTCCTAGTGGGGTGAGTCAGAGGCTGGGCAGGCCAAGGTTGGTGGCCAGTCCCACAGATGAGAGGACCATAATCTAGACACACCCAAAACCGCAGGGCCTGACACACCCTTCATGCAGCTTTGACCAGGCGCATGCAGCATGTATCCGCTATTTGCCCGGTGACATGGGCCCTGGGTTTGGATACTGCCTCCTCTCCAGGGCTGCCTGGACTCCAGGCTCTGTGCTTTAGAGCCTGGCCAGGTTAGGCTTGTCGCGAATCACTCTTGGGAACGGAGATCTCCGCACCTCTGGCTCCCCCAAGTGGTCATGAGGCGCAAGCACAAAGAATGTCCTGGTCCCGCCCCTCCCTGTGAGTCGGGCGGCAGCAGAGCGCAAGCGCCGCAGGCCTAGGCCGGAAACAGGAAGGGAGAGGCGCGGGAGCTTATAGGAGCTCTTGGAGGCGTGGCCAACTGTCCGGCCCAATAGGCGATTGGGGGAGTGGCAGGGTCTTCCGGAGGGTCCAATGGAGCTGCGGAGGGCGGGGCCCGCCACGCCGTAGGAACCTATCAGGGCTCCGGGTCTTGCCATGCGGCCGGGGTTTAGCAGCCATGTGAGTTCTCTCGCAGCCGCAGCGGCAGCAGCTTGGCGAGCATGTCCACCGCTATGGCAACTCGTAAGCGGGCAAAGCCGGCCCCCGGGTCCGGGGCCGATGCGGTGGCCGGCAAGCGGCGGCGAAAGGTGAGCATGGCGTTTCCTCGGGCGCCACCGATCTCGCTATGGGACAGCCATCATTCCATCCCAGGGCCCCCAACCGGGTTCATAGCTTCGCCCAGGACCCCATCCCTTTGCTCAGGGCCGCATCTGGATCCAGCCACTGCTTTTCTCAGTCCTGGGGCGTATTATTTCCAGGTCGACTCTGCCCGGGACAGAGGCAAATCCAAGGGTGGTGGCAAGATGAATGAAGAAATTTCCAGCGATTCTGAGACTGAGAGGTGAGCATTTTTTCCATCCAGGGGAAGGGTAAACTGAGGCTCACGGCGAATGGAACACTCATCCAGATTGGTTACAGAGCTGGGTGGAGAACTCGGGATTACCTTTGGCTCACAGATCGTGGGTCTTTCCTGCGATAACTGTGAGATGTCTTTTGTCTCTGGTGTGTCTATGGGGAGGACCCTGGATCCTTCTGGGGGAGAACTGGATTGAGAAGCAAGGGGAGAAGGTTGCAGAACACATCTGCAACTGCTTATTTCCAGGACAGTGTCACAATTACTGGTATCCTTGGACTCCTTTTTGAGATGAGTATTGTTCAAGGTGGCCCTGGACCCCTAGGCTCAAATGATCCTATGTTTTAGCTGCTTCTGCTTCTTCTTCTTCTTCCTCTTCTTCTTCTTCTTCTTCTTCTTCTTCTTCTTCTTCTTCTTCTTCTTCTTCTCTTCCTCCTCCTCCTCCTCCTCCTCCTCCTCCTCCTCCTCCTCCTCCTCCTCCTCCTCCTCCTCCTCCTCCTCCTCCTCCTCCTCCTCCTCCTCCTCCTCCTCCTCCTCCTCCTCCTCCTCCTCCTCCTCCTCCTCCTCCTCCTCCTCCTCCTCCTCTTTTTTCTTTTGGTTTTTTGAGACAGGGTTTCTCTGTGGCTTTGGAGGCTGTCCTAGAACTCACAGAGATCTGCCTGCCTCTGCCTCCCGAGTGCTGGAATTAAAGGCGTGCGTCACCACAGCCAAGACATTTTAGCTTCTTTTTTTTCCCCCAAAGGAATCCTTTACTTGGCCCACTGAGGTGTGGGCTTGAGGTGTTAAATAAGATATAGATGAGGCGGGGATGCTGTACAGAGGGGTCCAGGTGGAAGAAGTTGGCACCATTCAGTGCACCTGAGGCTGGGGGTGCCCGTGGCAACTCCACATACATTTTAGCTGCTTCTTCTTTTTTTTTTTTTTTTTTTTGGTTTTTCAAGACAGGGTTTCTCTGTGGCTTTGGAGCCTGTCCTGGAACTAGCTCTTGTAGACCAGGCTGGTCTTGAACTCACTTGCCTCTGCCTCCTGAGTGCTGGGATTAAATGTGTGCGCCACCAACACCCGGCTACATTTTAGCTTCTTAAGTAGTTAAAGACACAGTGTTTATTGACACATATCTAGCCTTCCCTTGACTCTAACATTAGGGACTGTTTTCACTGTTGGGGAAACAGGTGAGCAGCAAGTGGAGAGAGGGTGTTGTAGGAAGGTGTGTGTTTTGCAGGTACATGCTCTGAGAACAGAAGGTTTTTTAGAAATAGGGCTTGGAGAGATGAGGAGGAGTGCCCTGGAGAGGTAGGGAAGTCATTCAGGGATCAGAGACAGGTCTGAGGTGTAAGTATACCGGGGTGGAAGGAAGAAAGGATAAAAAGGCAGGTGATAGGCACATACAGAATTGAGGGAGTGATTTGGACAATCCCCTTATTTCAGCAGGTGATGGGGGTGGCTACAATGTTTCAAAGATTTTGGACAGAGAATCCTGTTATCTTCCTTATAAACTGGACTTAGCGAGTCTGTATCTCTCTCTGTTTATCGGGTTTCTCTGTGTAGCGTTTGTCCTGGAGCTTGCCCTGTATACCAGGCTGGCCTTGAACTCATAGATCTACCTGTTTCTACCTCCTGAGTACTGAGATTACAGGCCTGGCTAGCAATTCTGCTTCTAAAAGTGAATGTGTGTTGCCTTAACTTGCTCATAGAAACATTCTCTTTTGAAACAAGGTCTTTCTATGTAGCTCTCCTGGAACTAGCTGTGACGATCAGGCTGGCTTCAAACTCAAAGACATCCCCCTGCTTCTGCCTCTAGAACCTGGACTAAACTCTTTTTGTGTTTGTTTTTAATTGTATGTATATATGTGTGCACACAAGAGTTTGTGTAAACTACCTGTGTGCAGACGCTCAAGGAGAAATGAGGGCATTGGATCCCAGAGAACTGCAGTGACAGGTGCTTGTGAGCCACTAATGTGGATGCTGGGGATTGAACCCCGGTTCTCTGCAAGAGCTCTTAACTGATGTGCCATCTTTCCAGCCCTCTTAAGTATTTTAAGAAGTTGTATTATGAAATCTATTAATTATAGAAACATCACTCAGTTTTCTTTTACTGGTCCTCTAACATGGGCAAAATAAAAATAAATGTATACACATAAAATTCAGGGCTGAAATATCTTTTCTTACAAAAGCTACTTTTTAACAAAAAATGATGCCAGATGTGGTGGCACATTCCTTTAATCCCACCACTTGGGAGACAGAGGCAGATGGATCTCTGAGTTCGAGGCCACCTGGTCTATATAGAGAGTTCCGTAACAGCCAGGGCAACACGGAGAAACCATGTCTTGGAAAAGCAAAAAGATAAAAAAGCAGAATTGTTAAACCCAATTTATAAGGTTTGGCAAGAAGTGCCGGCACTGCTGAGCTTATCCCCTGCCACTTTCCTACTTTCTGTATGTCCCTTAAATAACCAACTGATTGGTTTGGGTAAACTCGAGAAGGTCAGAATTCTGGGGCATGGCTTGGCCTTCGCCTTCCTGAGAGGTGTTTTGGTTTTGAGGTGGGTACTTACTTTGTAGTCCTGCTGTCCTGGAACTCTGTGTAGACCAGGCTGGCCTCAAACGTTCAAGAGATCCACTTGCCTTTGCCTTCTGAGTGATGGGATTAAAGGCTCATACTACCACATCTGCTATGTTTTAACTTTTTGATATTAATGATATTAAATATATTTTGTGTGCTTACTGTGTGTCTTTGGAGAAATGTCTGTTTTAGATCTCTTGCCTATTTTGGGGGAGTTGGCCATTTTCACGTTGTGCTGGGTGGACACTGAATGAGATCTTTCAGTTGGTCAAGTCACAGCCTTCAGTTTTCTGTACACGTGCCATTGGCCTTCGGGATTGGCAAGGGCAGGGTTGGCATTGAGGAAGCCTAGTCATGGGGGCCAGACCCTTAGACTCAGCCCCTTCTTCCCATAGCTTGGCTCCAAGGAAAACAGAGGAAGAGGAGGAGGAGGAGCTAGAGGAGACTGCACAAGAGAAGAAGCTACGCTTGGCTAAACTCTACCTTGAACAGCTCAGGCAGCAAGGTGAGCTGTGGGGCTGGATGAAGGCCAGGGTCTCCGCTATCCGTGTTGCAGTCCCAGCCGTCTCATGGTCACTCACGTGGGTTCCCATTGTCTGCAAGTGCTGCTGGTGTTGGCTACCTTGTGGAGGGTGGCTAGGATGGCTAATGGGCCAGTATTCTCCGTGAGGGGAGCGAAAGTCAGGAAAGGACTGTCTAGTTTCCCCTTCCCTCTGCTGAGGCATGGGAGCTTCCTACAGAATAGGCACTGGGGCCCAGCCCTGGGATGGAGGGCTAGGCAGGGGATGGGAGGAGGTCCGGGGATTCAGCCTTGGATTCTGTGGACTGGTCTGTCCTGTACAGAGGAAGAGAAGGCCGAAGCTCGTGCATTTGAGGAGGATCAGGTGGCAGGGCGCTTGAAGGAGGACGTGGTGAGTGTGGGGGGTCGGGTGAGAGTGTGGCGGGAGGCTGGGCCTTCCCCTGCTCCTCACTCCTCTCTCCTCCTCTCTTGGCAGCTGGAGCAGAGAGGCAGGTTACAGAAGTCGGTGGCAAAGGAGGTGAGTGTGCAGAGCGTTGGTGTGAGGTTAGAGGGAGTCAGTGCATTCAGCTGGGTTGGCAAGCAGATGGCTTAGTGTCGCTCAGGCTATTGAGTGGAATACAGTGGACATTTGGGCAGATGTGGCTAGGTAAGAAAGTGTCTTATTCTTGTAGCCTTGGGGCCCTGTTTTCCTTCTGGGTGGGGGAGAGGGGGTAAGAATGGTTCCAGGTGGGGAGTATCATCATGGTTCCGGCTGTAGTGAGTGACCCAGACCCTGTCTGCCCAGATCCAGGCCCCAGCTCCCACTGACATTCGAGTTTTACGTGGCCACCAGCTCTCCATCACATGCTTGGTTGTCACTCCCGACGACCTGGCCATCTTCTCCGCCGCCAAAGACTGCACCATCATTAAGTGTGAGTGAGACCTTGAGGGCGTGTGTCTGGTGTGGAGCTCTGCTGATGGGAACTTCTAGGGCAGATTTGCTACCAAGGAGGAGCTTGTGAGTGACAGTGGAAGCTCCCACGGGGCAAGGACAGGATGGGATGGTGTTGGGAGTTGTGCTGTATGGACACTGAATAGGATCTTTCAGTTGGTCCAGTCACATCCTTCAGTTTTCTGCATATGTGTCGAGGATGGGAACTGAGGCCAGTTGGACCTTAAGGTGTTTGAGGCTGCGCACTGACTGGATGGAGTCTTGGTCCTTCTGGGTTTCACAACTGAGCACAGGCCTCACCTTCCCACCTTCTTCAGAGGAAGGAATCATGTCAGTAGTCTCAGTGCACTGTCTTCTCTCTCTCTCTCTCTCTCTCTCTCTCTCTCTCTCTCTCTCTCTCTTGTTCCTCCTTTTTTTTTTTAATACTTTATTTGTATTTTATGTACATTGGTGTTTTGCCTGCATGTATGTCCATATGAGGGTGTCGGGTCCCCTGGAGCAGGACTTACAGTTGTGGAGCTGCCATGTGGGTGCTGGAAATTGAATCGAGGTCCTCTGGAAGAGCAGCCAGTGTTCTTAACTGCTGAGCCATCTCTCCAGCCCCCTCTTTCTTCGTTTTGTAATGCTGTTGTTTATTTTGTGTGTGGTGTGCGCACATGTAGAGATGTCAGAAAACAACCTGTGGGAGTCGAGTGGGTTCTGGGGATTGAATTCGGGTCTTGCACATTGCATGTGATTCCCCCCGCCCCAGCATATCCCTCCAATCTCCAAGGCGCTTTTGCATTCTTCCTCCTTTGGGGGTCATGGATGCCACTGGGGACTGTTGCCCCCATTTGGCAGATGAGACCGAAGTGATTTGTGCAGGTGCTCCCTGTAGCTGAACTGGACCCTCTGAAGTGCAGGGCTCCCTTCATGACCCCTTGTCCATGCTGCTTCCACACTGGGGGAGGGGAGGCTGCCAAGCAGCCTGCGGTATCCCCCATCCCAGTAACTCTCTCCTTTCTTGGTGTCAGGGAGTGTAGAGAGTGGGCGGAAGCTGCGTGTGATCCCTCGAGCCAAGAAGGGGACCCAGGGGCAGCCTGCAGGCCACAGCACCCACATCCTCTGCATGGCCATCTCCTCTGATGGCAAGTACCTTGTAAGGCTGGCTTGGCCCTGTAGGCAGGTGGGCGGTTTGGGTATGTAGTGCGTGCTTGTGGCTATTGTCTTCATTCCCACAGGCCTCTGGTGACCGTAGCAAACTCATTCTAATTTGGGACGCCCAGAGCTGCCAGCACCTGTACACCTTCACGGGACACCGGGACGCTGTGTCGGTGAGGTTCTGTGGGTATTTAATGGACACCTGCTGAGTGGGCCCACCTGGTGCTCTGTCCTTGCTCATCTTCAGGGGGCCTCCTCTCTGGGTTGTGAGTGAGTGGTGTGTAAAGGAGTTGTGTGCTGAAGACATTGGGAGGGGTGGGAGGAGATCAGGTCCAGTTGATTCAGGCTCCGGGGAGGGCCTGAGGAGTGTCCAGCTGTTTGGGGACAGGCAAGTGTATTCCCAGCTCCACACAGGGTCTTCTGTGGTACTCACAGTGCTCTGGGGGAGCAGGCTTCCTGTGTCATGACTTGCTTCAGAAGAGCCTCTCTGGGCCTGCCCTCTGTTTCCCTTGCTGTAGTCCTGACCCTTTTGCCCCTCCCCATCTGCTCTAGGGACTGGCCTTCCGGAGGGGTACCCACCAGCTCTACAGCACTTCCCACGACCGCTCTGTGAAGGTGTGGAACGTAGCAGAGAACTCGTACGTGGAGACACTGTAAGTGTGCTCAGGCAGATGGCATGCGGGGTCACATGTAGTTATGGGTTCACATGTGACACCCCCCCCCCCATCCTGGTTCTTCCCTCCAGCTTCGGGCACCAGGATGCTGTGGCTGCATTGGATGCCCTGAGCCGAGAGTGCTGTGTGACAGCTGGGGGCCGGGATGGGACTGTGCGTGTGTGGAAGATCCCGGAGGAATCCCAGCTTGTCTTCTATGGCCACCAGTAAGGCAGTCCGCTGTGGTGTGTGGGGCTCTGTGGGCTGGTGAGTGGGCTGGACCTTGTCCCTCACAGTCTCTCTCTCTCTAGGGGCTCCATTGACTGCATCCATCTGATCAATGAGGAGCACATGGTGTCGGGTGCAGACGATGGGTAAGTTACCTTTCTGGTGTGTCTGACCTCTGCCTGTGAGCGTTCCTGCCTGTGGGGCTGGACTTAACTCATTTGGACCAGTGATCCTATCCATATCCCTCAGCTGGTCCTCCGTGCTGTCTGCCTTCTGTCCTGCTCTGGTTCCTGAGACTTATCTTCCTCACCCACAGCTCCGTGGCCTTGTGGGGCCTCTCCAAGAAACGGCCACTTGCCCTCCAGCGTGAGGCTCACGGGCTACATGGGGAGCCAGGCCTGGAGCAGCCCTTCTGGGTGTCATCGGTAGCAGCCCTACTCAATACAGACCTTGTGGCCACAGGTTAGGGGACTCTGTGAGGTGGGGGAGAGGGGACGCAGGCCAAGTTGGTATAGGGGTTGCTCATTGACCCTCTGTCCTCCAAGGCTCCCATAATGCCTGTGTGCGGCTTTGGCAGTGTGGAGAGGGCTTCCGGCAGCTTGACCCTCTTTGTGACATCCCCTTGGTAAGTGGTAAATGCATAAGCCTGTCTTTGCCAGACTCTGGGGACCCAGAATGAGCTCTTTCTGCTCTTCCCCTAAGCAAGGCCACTTATTGTCTCAGATCCTGGCAGGGACTCCCTTTTTCCTCCTCTATTCCTCTGCCCTTCTGCCCTGCCCTGTCCTGGCTTCCAGGTACAAGGCTGAGAGTAGCACAGGCTGAGGGCAGAAGCCTGCACTGGCGTTGGTTCTGTGTGCCCGGTACTAGCTTGAGAACCAGGCTGGGCTGTGGAATAGATTCTCCACATTGGGGTGACTTGTGGGATTGTGGCAGGATATGTTAGTGCCAGCTTGGGTTGGGATGGCTGTCCTGGGGTTTCTTGCACCCCACTGCCAGGAGACAGGTCCTAGGCAGCTCTTGACACACTTGACGGGCACAGTCTCCTTACTCCATCTGCTAGGCTGGTGCTCCACCTCCCGGGGTCAGATTAGGAGGCTGCGGCTGCAGGGGGAAGGACTGGCCTGCCTGAGCTGGGGCAGGAGGTTTTTCACTGGTTTTTACCGGGCTCTTGATGTTGGCAGCTGTGGTGAGGAATGCTCTGATGTCTTACTGTGTCCCTCTCTCTTAGGTTGGTTTTATCAACAGCCTCAAGTTCTCCAGTGCCGGGGACTTCTTAGTGGCTGGAGTGGGGCAGGAACACAGGTACATGATGAGAGGTGGGGCAAGGTGGCGCTGGCCAGGAGGGAATAGGAGAGGGTGGCGTGTGTCTGTCTGTCTGCCTCAGCTGGTCCTCTCGTTCCCGCTCCCGCTCCCACAGGCTTGGCCGATGGTGGAGGATCAAAGAGGCTCGGAACTCAGTCTGCATCATCCCACTGCGCAGACTCCCTGCACCCCCTGTTGCTGGCTCCTGACACTCATCCTTATTTAAGTGCTTTCCAGGCCCTGCTCCCCTTTTGTATTAAAGCCTCCTATTTTAGACCTTGTTTTACTGGTTTCTGGGAGGGTAAGGTGTGTGTGTGTGGGGGGGGCAGGGATCAGGAGCTGGCACAGACCTGAGGAAGGACAGGACTCTAGCAAGCTCTCAGATGAAGACTTGGTTTTTTTCAGAGGACTGCTTGTGTGAACCTCAGCTGCCTCTTGTATGACCTCATCAGCCAGCTGTTCTCCAAGACTCGCGGCCGAGTCATAGTCCACTTACCCATCAGCCAGGAAACTGGCTTTCAGTCCTGTGTGAAGGTGCTTGCTGGGGTTTGAGGACCAAAAGGGATAGCAGGGCCTACAAATGAAGCTGACCCTACTTAGGAATCTGGAAGGGATAGCCTGCCCCCTGGAGTGGGAGTCTGGCATGCTTGGGGACAAGGTCAGAACTGGGGATGGGGTCTTCAGTCTGATAGAGCTAGGCAGGGACCCTGCTGGAGAGATGTAGCAAAGGAATCCTTGCTTTTACATATCGGGTGGTTCACTCTTGTCATGGGGGTGCAGCAGTTGGGGAGAGGAGAGACTGGGGAAATAGAGGAGTAGGATAGATGGCCTGGTGCCCTCCAAGGCGTTTTTTGAGAAGTGACATTGAGATATGAAAAGAGGAACACCCCTGGCCGCCTCCTCCAGCGCGGGTCACAACGTCCCTGAATCTTCGTTGACTAGTTGCAGAAGCCGCTTTATCTTTGGCAGCCCCTCAGCACTGCTGGTTAATGCCACCCACTCCCCCAACCCTCTTAAGTCCAGAGCTGTGCAATCACCTTCGTCGATGTCAGCGCCTTCTCCGACGCCTATAATTCTCTAGGGCCAGTTGTCGAGACCGCATGGTTTTCTTCCAAAGATCAACCTGCAGAGATGCAGACATCGAGTTGGAGCTTTGTCAACACAGTTCCAGAAAACAAATTAGAGAGTCTAGACTTGAGATGACAGTGGAGGACATCCAAGTCCTCTCCACATGCTTTCAGAAATAAAAGTTGGGCTCATACCTTTCCAAATTGTTTTGAAAATAATGCATATATAATATATATATTTTTTAAAGATTTTATTTATTTATTATATGTACAACATTCTGGTGTATCTGCACACCAGAAGAGGGCACCAGATCTCATAACGGATGGTTGTGAGCCACCATGTGGTTGCTGGGAATTGAACTCAGGACCTCTGGAAGACCAGTCAGTTCTCTTAACCTCTGAGCCATCTCTCCAGCCCTTAAAATGTTTCCTTTTTTTTTTTTTTTTTTCTTGGTTTTTTGAGACAGGGTTTCTCTGTAGCTTTGGAGGCTGTCCTGGAACTAGCTCTTGTATACCAGGCTGGACTCAAACTCACAGAGATCTGCCTGCCTATGCCTTCCAAGTGCTGGGATTAAAGGCGTGCGCCACCAACGCCTGGCTATATTTTTTCAAGGCAGGTTTTTTTTTTTTTTTTTTTTTTTCCTACATATCCCTGACTGTTTTGTAACTCGTTCTGTAGACCAGGCTGGCCTTGAACTCAGAAATTAGCTCTTGCCTCCTGAGTGTTGGGATTAAGGTTGCACTACCACTGCCTGGCCTCATACATTTTACTATTATTTTCATTTATGTGCATGCCTATATGTGGATCTCAAGTGAGTGCAATACCCTTGGAGGCCAGCAGAGGACACTGGACCCTTGGAGCTGGAGTTGACAGTGAATTCCTGAGTGTGGATGCTGAGAACCAAACTCAGGTTCTCTGCAAGAAGAAAAACACCATGGTATCTGAATCACGTCAGGCAAATATTCCGCCCCGAACCACATTCCTGTAGGTGTCTTGATCACGATCTCAGTGTTTTCTTAGAACGTGAGATTTCTCTGCTGTTAATCTAGCTCATTGCCAAAGTCAGCTGACCTGCTAGGCTCTTTTGGTAGATGGCAAGAGCATATGTGAAAGAGAGAGATTACATCACCCAATAGGAAGCCAGAAATTCAGGGTAAACCCTGCAATAGTCCTTTCCAAGGGTAGCAACCTCAGTGACCTAAGAACTGTCAAGTAGACTCCAGCTTACCTCTAAAAGGTCTTTTTAAAATTAAAAAGTAAACTTAAATCCTGCAGTGTGTGTGTGTATATTGAGAGGTTAAAAAAATTGTCGCAAAGTATATCATACTTTCCAAACAGAGACTAATGGTCTTTCTGCCACTCTGCACCCACAACCTGCCGCCCACACCCCGCTAACTCCACATGATGCTTCTAGCTGCTCACGATTCCCTCTTCCATACACTCTCCCAGTCTATACTAACCTTCTACATCCTGCGAGCACTGCCCAGTTGACTCCTGGGACCGTGACCCTGAAATGGGCTCCAGGTCTCATGCTGTCAAGATGGGTCTTTGGGAGGTGAGAACAGCAGAGAGAGTCCCCTGGGTAGCAGCTGCCATTTACCTGACTGATATCTTTGAGGGTAGAAGGAGGAGAACACTGAACCCAGAGCTGAGGAGCCCAGGCTAGGTTTTGGGGTCTCCAGGGCACTGAGTGGGTAGGTTGGATATGTCAGCAGTCCAGGACCTCTGTTGTCACTAACAGTGTCAATGCCTCTCATCTCCCTGTGTTCATGATGAGATGCGTGTCTCTTTATGCTCTTAGTTTGCACAAACGCAGTCACAGGGATCAAAGTTTCTTTACTTACAAAAATGCCTCTCAGTAGTATAGACCAACTCATCATTTTTACTTTTTGAGACTAGCTCAGGCTGGCTTTGACCTCCAAAGCAATCCTCCTGCCTCAGCCTCCTGAGTGCTGGAATTACAGGCACGGACCATCATGTCTGACTTAACTCACTACTTTTTAATATTTATATAGTATTTGAAGGTATAAGTCTCCTGCCACACCTCCCTGAATGTGTCCGATCTTATCTGAAGTTATGAGCAGACTATAACTCATTAAATAAACCCTCCATCGATGACTATTGACAAATGCAAATGAAGTTATTACCAACAGCTCATTATACACCTTTATATCAACGGACTAGTGATTCTGGTAATTTGGCTTTGAAGCCAGGGCTTTGGGCATTTATGGCAGAAAAGCAAATAGACAGCTCTCTGCCTTTTCCTTAGAAGGGAGTCAACTGGTGCCTGAGTCACAGCTGCCCTTGTGACATCACGAGTTACCCTCCTCTGCTCTCTGCTCATGCCAGCCCTGGAGCAGCACAGACTTGAGGGGATTTGAACCATCTATACCCAATCCATGTGTGAACAATGGTAAGCGAGAGAGGGCAGACACATCAGGCTTGTTACGTTTGTCCCCATAAATCTCCCACCATGAGGAACCCCCCTGAGAACCCAAGGTTCCGGAAAGCAGCCTGGCAGTGGTGGCGCACGCCTTTAACCCCATCACTCCGGAGGCAGAGGCAGGTGGATCTCTGAGTTCAAGGTCAGCCTGGTCTCCAGAGTGACTTCCAGGACTACACAGAGAAGCCCTGTCTTGGAAAACATAGGGGTAAAAAAAGTCTGGAATTCTCTGGAAGCCAGGGATATGTGGGGTACAGCACAGTGAGGGAGAGCTGGCAGCCCACCCTGACTTCCCCAGTTGTTGAGACCAAGATAAGGCACAGCTGAAGCCTGAAGACTTTGAAGAGCCCACTGACAATGCTCCTCAGGAGAAGCAGCCAGCTGGTCTACCCTCAGTAAAAAAGAAGGCAAAGGTAGGAGATTTGGCTTGGGGGTCTCTGGCCCTTGTACGGAGCTAAGCCCAGGAATAAATGATTTACCCTTTTCCCCCACGTACCCATTTAATTTTCAGCCTAAAACTCTGGTTCAGAAATGGAAAGCAGATAATGCTAGTGTGAAATTGGGAAAACTATGACCTCTCAAATGAAAAGACTCGGGCTGAGTCTGGGAACGGGTTTGTGGAATGGAATAGCTAAGGTGTAAGGAAGCTGGGTTTAAAATTGTGTGTGTGTTGGCCAGGTGTGGTGGTACACACCTTTAATCCTAGCATTTATGGGACAGAAAAAGGTGAATCTGTGAGTAGACCAGCCTGGTCCAGGGCTGTTAAACAGAGAAAACTTGTCTCAAAACAAAACAATCCCCGCCTCCCTGCCTGCAAACCAAAACAAAGCAAAAAAAAGAATTTCATGTGCATATTTACACTTTTGCACATATGTCTGTTTGTCAATTAAAATGAGAATGTGTGAAAGTCACGAGGAAGACAAACAAGCCTGATGATGCACACCCATAATTCCAGCACTTGGGAGGAACAGGAGAGGGAGATTGAGGCCAGCAAAGGTCACAAAGACCTTGTCTCACCCCCCCCTCCACGTTCGGGGCAGGTGGGAAGAGAAGAATAGAGAATGAGAAAGAGAAGATGAGAGACTGGAATATAAGAGTTGGGGGAAACTTAACATGAGAATTCAATAAGAGCAGGGAGAAGGTTCAGGCCTGGGGTAGGGTCAAGGAAGAGAGGGACAAGTTAGCAAAGGACCCCAAGTCCCTAGGAGGGTCCAATGGGAAGGGACATACATGGTCCTGGTTAGGAGGCAGGCTTGCCCAGGACATAACCATTTGATATGTATATGATCACGGGTTTTGCTCTCAGCTGGCTAACCTGGTCTGTGGGAAAGCTGGAATGCCAGGACAGGAGAGGCAGACTCAAGGGATGAGGGGAGCTGCTAGTGACCTGAAGCCAGAAGGTGACAGTGGCAGGACACTGACCCACTCTTCTAGTTCCCAGCCAGTGTCCCGACCAAGGCTATGAATTTCAGGGTGGAAAGGGGACAATTATTGATGAGGAATTAGGCCTTTCTCGGCATATCCTTGTGCTGAGGTGGATGAGGAAATTCACTAAGTATCCCCTTTTTTTCCTTGCAAGTTGCCAGAAAACCAGATGGTCTCTGAAAAGACCTCAGCTGTAAAGATCCAAGCCTGGTGGCGTGGCACACTGGTACGTCGGGCGCTGCTGCACGCGGCCCTCAGGGCCTGGATCATCCAGTGCTGGTGGCGGCTAATCCTGCGGAAGATTATGGAGAAGAGGCGTCACTCGATCCTGGATTCCTTTCAGCAGGAGCAGTGGGCAGCGGTCAGGTTGCAGTCCTGGGTCCGCATGTGGCACATCCGAAGGCGTTACCGCCGGGTACTTAAGGCTGTCCGAATCATCCAGGCTCACTGGAGGTGTCATGCCTGCTCCTCTCGGGGTATCATCAAGGGCCACTACCGAATTACGGCCAGCCAGATGCAACTGGAGCTGGAGATCTTTCTGGGCTCAGGGCCTTGTATCGTGACCGAGTGTATTCCCCTGCCAATAAAGCAGTGAGACAATCTTACGCAGTTTCTCCGTTTGACACCTTTGTACCAGCAAAGTACATATAGACACAGCTGAGCTTGCTTCAGTATCTACATCGAAATCTTCGAGTTTGTAAGAGACTTCAATCCCAATATAAACTCCGCTCATACTACTGTTCCCCTTTCCAAATTAGTTCTTTTTTTTGTTTTGTTTTTTGAGACAGGGTTTCTCTGTGTAGCCTCTGCTGTGTAGCCTCTCCCAGAACTAGCTCTGTAGACCAGGCTGGCCTTGAACTCACAAAGATCCACCTTCCTCTGCCTCCTGAGTGCTGAGATTAAAGGTTCATATCACCATGCCTGGCAGGGCTTTATGGGTTTCTTTGTGTAGCCCTGTCTGTCCTGGAACTCGCTTTGTAGACCAGGCTGGTCTTGAACTCGAAGAGATCTGCCTGCCTCTGCCTCCCAAGTGCTGGGATTAAAGGCATGCTCTACCATTGTCTGGTTTAAGAATTTATTTTTAAAATCATGTGTATAAGTCTGTATGGGGGTGCAGGTGTATATAAATACCTGTGGAGGCCAAAAGAGGCTCTTGGCTCTTCTGGAGCTTGAATTATAAATGATTACGACCCACCAGCTATGGAAGTTATGAACTAAACTCAAGTCCCCTTCTGAGAGCAGCAAATGCTTTCAACCACTGAGCCTTGTATTTCTTTTTATTCCTTTTATTTATCATGAATAGTGTTCTGCCGGCATGTATGCCTGCAGGCCAGAAGCGGGTGCCAGATCTCATTGCAGACGGTTGTGAGCCGCCATGTGGTTGCTGGGAATAGAACTCAGGACCTCTGGAAGAGCAGCCAGTGCTCCTAACTTCTGAGCCATCTTTCCAGCCCCTCAGCCTCGAATTTCTAACTGTGTGTGTGTGTGTGTGTGTGTGTGTGTGTGTGTGTGTGTGTGTGTGTGTTTGAGACAGGGTTTCACTATAGGTTTTGGAGACTGTCCTGGAACTCTCTCTGAAGACCAGGCTGGCCTCGAACTTAGAGATTTGCCTGCCTCTGCCTCCTGCGTGTTGGGATTAAAGGCATGCACCACCACTGCCAGGCACATTTCTAACTCTTAATTTTGAGATGGAGATAGCTTCTGGCTCCCATAATCTGAAACAAATGGGATCTCCTTGAATTTGCTGCCAGCTTCCCTTTGCAGACCTGTCCTGCTTGAGCAGTGACAGGCGCCCGCCCCTCCTCCCCCAGGGAGACTGGTGAGCTCTCTGCACTTCAAGTAGCTCAGGTTTCTGCTCAGTTAGAGCCCTGTGGCTCTGCAGAAACACTCCTCATGGAGCAGAAGCGGGAAACACATTTTGCTTTGGGGTTTTTACCTTTCTTTCATTCTGTATGTCCTACTTTGCTGCTTCCTCTATGTCTGGCTGGGTGGCAGCTGCCTGGCTGGCCTCTGGCATCTCCCTGTTGTTTTCTCCACCTCCCCCATTTCTCCTCCTTATTCTCCTACTAAATTCTTTCTCCTACTCATTCTCCCTGTCTGGAAGTTCCACTTACCTCCTCCCTTGCTAATTCCATTCAGATTTTTATTAGACCAATCAGGTGCCTTAGGCAGGCAAGTTAAAATATCGACACATCTTTACATAACTAAACAAATGCAACATATCTTTGCTTAGTTAAACAAATATTGCACAACACGTAACTTTGGGTGTAGGGACATAATTGCCTTTTTTGGTCATCAGCCTGTTTTTTCACAGGCAGAATCCATGGGTCTATAATGTGTGAAACTTGCTTGTTTCCATTTTCCATACTCAGCAAATCTCACGACTCTAAGCATCATTGCGTTATAGAAATCATCTTATTGTGATCTGCAAGTAAATTGCCCAGGGAGGAGTAAAATTTTTCATTGAAACAATCACACCATACTAGATACAGTGGGATCCTTTCACACGGTAATCACACCATGCCAGATACAGTAAGAACACAATAGTGGCAAGCAGGAGAAGGCACAGCAGTCGCAAGAGCATTCTGGAGACACCTCCCCTCCCAGGACTTCACCTCTCTGGGGTGCATTCATTACAGCTGTGCTATCCAACGAGCTGCACTCCATTGCTGACTTCAGCTCCTCTGACACGGCCACCACCAAAGAATGAAATTAAAAACCTCAGCGGATGGAAGAGTCTTCGTTAGGCATGCGATAACCATCATCAAAGAGCCATCAGAAAGGAACACGATAGGCCATTAACTGATGGGATGAGAGGACACACCAACTGCAGATTCAGGAGTGTAGCATTTGACACGAAAGACCCCTTGGATTGCAGTTCAAAAAAGGCAGAGAAATGCCAAGACCAGAAAAAAACAAAACAAAACAAAACAAAAAATGAGAAACAACAGTGAAAGGGTTCCAGGCATGGCTGAGTCCCCAAGAAAGGAGAGCAAAGTGGAGAGCAAATCTGTTAAAGCATGGGCAAGATTCCTAAAGGGACTCACTGCCCCTTAAAAGATGAAGGGAGATGGCGCTCCACAAAGGTCACAGCACAAGGTCATAACGGATGAAGATAAAATGCTTAGTAGTCTAGAGGAAAAGAGATAAGCAGCTCAGCTGTCAGGGACTAGGTCTCGGGTTGTCATGGGTGCTCTCGGCTGCAATGTTAGGTGGAGGAAGAGTGTGCAGTGCTCTGAGAGAGATCAAGGAGCACTGAACAACCTATGACCCCCAAATGTTACTCAAACATAAGACCAAAGTATAAGGCAATTTTTGTTTTTTAGACAAGGTCTTTTTTGCAACTCGTCTTGAGTAGCTATGTATCTGAAGATGGCCTTGAACTCTTGCCTTAGGCAGGCAAGGTGAAACAGATACAATACATCTTTAAATAATTAAACAAATGTAACATAAACAAATGTAACATACTTTTACACAGTTAAACTAATATTTCATAGCACAAACAAATGTAACACATCTTTGCTTAGTTAAAATAATATTCCACAACAGTTCCTGGTCATCTTTAGCAACAAAGCAAGCTCAAGGTCACCCTGGCTTCATGAGACTCAGTTCCAAAATAGAAACAACAACAAAACCCTAAAACAACAATGAAAAAAAAATCAATAGAAAATGCTTGTCTTGGACTGCAGAGATGGCTCAGAGGTTAAGATATCCTGAGTTCAATTCCCAACAACCACATGGTGGCTCACAACCCTCTGTAATGAGACCTGTTGCCCTCTTCTTGCATGCAGGCAGAATGCTGTATACATAATAAATAAATAAATCTTAAAAAAACATAAAAGAAAATGCTTGCCTTGAGCCACAAAGCATGGCAAACATCTTTAATCCCAGTACTTGGGAGGCAGAGGCAGGTGGATCTTTGGGTTCCAGGCCTGCTGACAGAGAAGTTCCAGGACAGTTAGGAGTACACAGGGAAAATAAATAAGTACATAAAATTAAAAAAGGAAATGCTTATCTTTAATGAAATGTTATATATTTCATCTTTGAAATTTTCTTTTCACAGTACAGCTACTGTGTAAAAATTTGCACTGCCAAACACTGCTATATATTAATGAACACACTATATTTATTGAGAATATTCATCCCATGGGAGAGACAGTTACAGGGCTCTATTAGATTCTCCTCCTGATATTTCCCTTAAGTGTGTCATTGTACCATGGATTATTCCCATCTGAAATGTGGGTGGTTGCTCTTCAGTTGCTTGATAAACACATCTAGACATATGGAAACCACTCTCATTTTTGCATGGGAAAACTGACAACAGTGGCTGCTGTCTCTATAGTCTGAGCTCAGAATATATTCAGTGCAGATTAGTGTACAAGTGGATGTCTCCTGGCACGCAGGAAGTATGCAGCAAAGCTTGACACTACTTAGCATTCAAAATTACTTCTTCCCTTCATGACTTTGCCAGAGTACAAATGTCAGCTACAAGCCCCAGGGTTTTGCCTTTTTCCTTAGCGACTCATTTATTTTTATGTGCATCAGGGCTTTGCCTGCATGCATGTCTGTGTGAGGGTGCCAGATCCCCTGGAACTGGAGCTACAAACACTTGTGAGCTGCCATGTGTGTGCTGGGAATTGAACCCAGGTTCATCTGGAAGAATAGTCAGTGTTCTTAACCACTGAGCCATCTCTCCAGGCCCAGAGAAAGACCTTTAAAAGGAAGAAGAGGGAAACAGAAGGCATGTGACATGAAACCAGGAGTCTTTGGGGAAGGGAAGAGACCAGCAGGTGGGAGGAAGATGGACTGGGGTTTTGGAAGAGAATTAACAAGATCAAGGACCTGGTATAGTGCATGCCTATAGCCAAGAACATGGGAAGTAGAGGCAAGAGGATCGGGAGTTCAAGGCCAGGCTCAGCTACATAGTGAATTTGATTTTGCTTTTATTATTATTATTATTATTATTATTATTATTATTATTATTATTCAAGACAGGAATTCTCTGCGAAGCCCTGTCAATCCTGGAGCTTGCTCTGTAGACCAGGATGGCCTCAAACTCAGAGACCCAATTGCCTCTGCTTCCCAAATGCCTGGATTAAAGACATGAACCAACATAGTCTGGCTATACAGTGAGTTTGAGAGCAGCCTGGGCTACATGAAACCTTGTCTCAAAACAAACAAAAACAAGCAAGCAAGCAAGCAAGCTCCCTACCCCAAGAAAACCAAGAACAGGGCTGGAGCTCAGCTGGGAAAGTGCTTGCTTCACAATAGCGAAGACGTGAATCTAACTTCCAGCACCCATGAAACCCAGGGGTTGTGACACAGGCTTATAATTCCAGCTTATAATTCCAGAACTGGGGAAGTAGAGACAGAAAAAAATCCCTGTGGTTTGATAGCCAGTCTGTTTAGCTGAATTGGTGAGCTCCAGGCCAATGAGAATCTAAAGACAGAAAAAAAGGTGGGGCCTGTGAGATCGCTGCGCACCTTGCAAGACTGACAACCTGAGTTCAGTCCCCGGAACCCGTGTGAAAAAGCCAAATGCAGGGGTGTGCATATGCAGTCCCAGCACGTCTATGGGGCGATGGGAGGCAGAGAAGAGAGAATT